ACTTTTGTACGTCTTTAATACATGAATATGTGTCCCCGGTGTTCCAGGGAACTCACCAAGTGTCAGAAAACACAACCCTCTCTATTTTCCTCCATACCCAAATCTCTAAAAAAGGGGCTGCAACGGATCTGATAAAAACTGATCCAGATTTGAACACTTTCCTGACGTCAGGACAGTGGCGCTACGGCTATTGGGTCAACTCCACCAATCAGGATGAGACAGCCACGGCCATTGCCGTTCGAAAGCGCTGGAGACGCTGTAGTACATATGCCAGGCCTGTAGGTGGTGCTGTTCTCACAGAATCAGCCCTTGCAAAAACAGGGGTTTAAAAGTGCAAATTGAGCGAAATGAGGCATGGCTAAAATGCATGATCTGTTTGGTATTTTTTTTTTTTTTAAAGTATAAATATGCCTTATATAGGTATGGTCCTACAGTATATTATTATAATATAGCATGATAGGTCCACTTTAAGCTCAAGCCGGTGACGAGTGATATTGAACTGATGAATTTGACTTGGTCATATTTGATAGGCTGTGTGATGAAAATGTTATACTTTTGTCTACCAGACTTTGCACAATATGCCCAAAAAAGTGTGAACACACTGACTGAACATTTAATTGAGTTTGCCTCTGCAGACTGGTAGGATGGGCCTTTAGGTAATTAATTGACCTGTACTTTGTCTAGGGTATCATTAACATTAAAAGATGTTGTGCAAACACTGTCAGCCAGTCTGAATTATGTATTTATCATGACTTTGTTATATTGGAGGGCTTATTCTGTGCAGGACAACCTGGTATCAAACACATACAAGAACACGGAGATATGCAGGCACCCAGCATGTGTGTCATGCTTATTGAACTGTCATTAAAAGGAGGCCATATAATGAAGATTAGGATATTCAGTTTTCTTGTTTTTTTTTAGAAAAGTAAGTAGAAAACAAAGCAACAGGTTGAACAAAGGCAATTAAGGTCAGAGCTGGTGACTGCCCGTATAGAGTGGCGAAGTCCCTCCCCTTCCGGTGGACCTCCATGGGACCTTATTTCGGAAAAATTATGTATTGAAGTCAATGGAGAGAGAAAGATTATCTTTCGATCCCGTTTGAATTGTGCCACGAATTACACATATGATGTTTGTCAATTTAAAAGATAATTTTGCAAGTCAAAAAAAAAAAATGTGTCGTAAAACTGTGAAGTAACACATTTGTTTGTGTGAAACGCTCAATGAACTACATCTCTGGTCTCACAGAACCACACACGTCACCAAGATGGCCGTCACTACTGTCTTGTCAACAAAACGATTGACTACCCTCACTATCACCACAATGAAACACGTCCTGAAGAAAGTCATGCAAAGTTTAATGTCAACCATTTGTGCAGATAGCATGAAGTAGAGAAGATCGCTAGCGTTAGCGTTAGCATTTCTCCCCCGGGCTTAAATGGTGTATTATAGAATGATCACACCGGTGTGACAGTACTCTTCAAAGGGTTCACGAAATATGACTACTACACTTACTGTTTAACATTTTGGGTTACTTAATGTTACTTCATGTTAAGGCTAATACAAATGACAAGGCTGTAATGCTAACTAACGTGCTAGCTACTAGCTAGCTTGATCCAGACACTCCTGGTCCTTTCATCAGATGGGAAGCGAAAGAACGAGCAAGACCCATTGCTGGTATGAACAACCTGGTACTAAGCACACAGGCATCTTGTTAAAGTTATCTTATCTTAGGCAGCGCCATATAGATAGATTCTATCTATATCTTAGCTATCTCTTAGTGGAGGAAAACAATTGTGACATCACTTACGCGACTCTGGGATTTGTAGTCTTTCTAGTTGCGTATTTTTTACGATTTACGACAAACTGTGACTTTTTTGACATGGAAATTATTTTTTAAGATTGACAAACATCATATGTGTAATTCATGGCACAATTCAAACGGGATCGAAAGATAAGTTTTCTCTCTCCATTGACTTCAATACATTATTTTTCCGAAATAAGGTCCCATGGGGCGGAAGTAGATGGGGGTGACTTCGCCACTCTATATGGAAAGAAGCATATGCATGTATTTCTCTCCATCAGATAGGGTCTTTGTCAGAATTACTCTTAGGTCGCGTTCACACCAGCCTTGTGGAGTATGGTTGAATCGAACCCTGGAGCGTTTAACCTCTTGATGCGGTTTGTTTGGGTTGGTGTGAACGCAGTCCGAGACCTCTGATGTGAACTAAACAACCACACTCTGGGCCGCCTAAAAGAGGTGGTTTTGGGCCGCTTGCTAGTGAACTCTGGAGCGGTTCATCGCTGGTATGAACGCAGTCCGCACCAAAGCATAGGACGTGTAGTATTTACGCGTAAGTTCCTGTACTGGTTACTGGAGGAGAAGTTAGCAAGTTGTCGCTAACAAAATGAGCGGCAGGGGACAAACGTCAAGCTACGAAGAACACAGAAGCCTTCTGGATATCTGGGCAGAAGAGAACATTCCTCAACTTTGGAAAGTTGGGGGAGCTGCAGAAAAGTGGCAGCTACTCCGATATTAAAGACAAATGTATTTGGTATGACGACCTTGACTATATCTTGAACACAAGACCCATAGTGAGCCCCGTAGATGTGTTTTTGTCTCTATTATACGGCTCTGGTTGTGTGTAACATACAGTAACCTATAGGGTCAGGCTTTCATTTATTCTGAAAGCATTCATTAATTGACAGAGATAAACAACTATAAACATAAGATAGCCTCTATTTGCTTTTGTGACTGCTTACCTCACTGGTCCCCTGTTTACAGCAAAAAGGCTGTGGTATAATCCCATCAGAGCCACCTGTCGTTGTTGAAACATCCTCCTTACTGCAGAACGTCTTTCATTACACACATGTGTTATAATGTTTTTTAACGCACGTTGTCCGATTATATAATCATTCATATGCAGCGTCCGCTAGAGTCTGTTTATATATATTCACCAAAGAAGCGGACTATCGACCAGTGTTGATGCCATCCAGTGGAATAGCTTTACAAAATGCTCAAAGGCAGCAGCACAGTTAATAGATTTAACCAAACTGTCATTCTTATGTTAACATATCTGAACATCGTGCTGTAAACTGCAGTGAGTCTAATGGGCTGCAGATATGAAAAGCTTGCCATGATGATTTTTTTTCTGGAGGTTTGTTAGAAAATTCCGTGATCCTTTTTTGTTTTTATACTTATTTCATTGAGTTTCAGATTCGGATGGAATTATGTTATTGTTGATTAGAAAGCCTGAAAATCGAATTCACATCTATTGTTATGAAAATGTATTATTGGAATGAATTGAGTCTCTGTGTTTAGTTTCCCGTTTTCTTTTTTTTAATGTATTTGCTCCTGGTTTCTTCCTTCCTGTGTTTTCCCTCCTATGTCAGATTATCTCATTGTGTTCACCTGCTGCCCCTGTGTTTCACCTCCCCTTCCCAGCTGTGTCTAATCTTGTGATTACCATTGTGTGTATTAAGTCTTGAGAGTTAATCGTAGTTTTTCCCTGGTATTGGCTCCTGTGGCCTGTACTACGAAGCAGGATTTGCAGTTAGCGAGGTAACTTCAGGGTTAACTCAGGGTTTTCGGTCCTACGACGCTGGTTCACTTCTTACCGGGGTAGATCTCCATAATAACTTATGCTGAACACCTAACCTGCTAAATGTATTATTGGAATAAATGTACTGTTAGGTGTGAATGCAACCGTCATATGTTATACATAATGTAGAAGAATTACTGAACTCCTGGCTTTGCAAAAGCTAATTACGCTGATTTCAAAGTGGGAAGGGCAAGGGATTAAAAGGGCAAGAAAGCTAAACAAAACCATACTGGCCGGCCACTAGAGGGAAAAAAGTTCTCTGGGAAGTAACAGTTGGTAACATAATAAAGAGGGATCAGAAAAACATGAATGTTTTCAGCAAACGGAGGTCAATGAGGCCACAGTGCTTGTTGCAATAGGGAAAGAGGTTGTAATGTAAAATACTCTTGCTTCACAGCGCCTTTTCTTAAAACAGTACTTTCTTTTTGTCCTAGGGCAGGAGTTGTCATTGTGCAAGGAAGAAAAGACATCTAGCAGACAAACATAACCTATAGTTGCAAGAATAATTTTGCTGGTGCAGCATCAGAATTGTTGGAGAATTGATACAGGATGTTTTCCTCTTATATATATATATATATGCAAATATACTCATTTAAATAACTGAATGGTCCAGGGGTAAGGACCACTATCACATGTGTTTTACTTACTGCAGACCTACCATAATGAAATGCATTTGACAACTTTGCCACAGTATAACCAGCTGATTTAATATATTTAAAATGTATAGAGCTGCTAATAACAAAAATGATCGCTATGCTTAATTAAAGACACAAAGCTAGGCTTCTGTTGCAACGTTAATACCACAGTGCAGTATAATGGTGACCAGGGCCAACGTGTGGCCCCACGCAAAGTTATGTGACGAGGCCCTCTGTGTCGCGAACTTCGACGGCGCGATGTAAGGCGGACTGCCCCCTAATTGGGGCGCATTTGCGATTCAGATGAGGCTCCCTCCGCAAGATGAGGCTCCCTCCGCGAGGTGAGGCTCCCTCCGCGAGGTGAGGACCCCTCCGCGAGGTGAGGCCCCACGCAGTCTGCGTGATCTTCGTGTTGGGGCGGGCCTGATGGTGACGAAAAAATTGTTTCTTGACCAGAAAATGCTGTATTGCTCCACATAAGGTTGATTTCAGACAGGCAAGCACTTGAAAGTCTGAAAGTAGAAAAGGCTCTTCGAAATCCACAAAGCATGTGTACTCAATTTCCCCTAGTTATTATGTTTAACCAGCTAACATGTCATGTAATACACTTCATGAAAAAATAAATAAATCTGTGCAATTGCAATTAATTTGCTGTTCTACAATGTCAACGCAATAGGACACCTATATTACACGTAAAAGGACTACACATATAGTCAATGGGGCTTCCAACCCCCAGATAGCAGCAAAAAGGGAGTCAAAGCAAAACTGTACTTGAAGTAATTTCTCTGTACAACTTTAATGGCACCAGTAAAAATCCACCGGGTAGCAATGCTACCTTTTCAAAAAGGAAGACATATTCATATCACATATTTAAGACAATCTCAAGAAATAATAAAAATAATTCAGCAATATGATTGACAAGTACAGCATCATTTGCCACTAAAAATACAATGTAGCAATGTACTTGTCCTTGCTAGGGGGCAATTGGTGGGACTGCACTAGTTTTTTTAGTTTTTTTATTCACATTAATTTGGTATGCTTCCCACCCGAGCCTTGATTTCTGGTTCCCATTGGTTTTTGATATTTCATTATTAACAGATGTTTCTTTTCATGCCAAAGAAAAATGTATTAAAGTAGTTGGTCAAAAAATGTAACAAACTTTACATCATACAGTTATTGAAATACTTGTATTCAAAAGAGTAAAAAAGACTTGGTTGTTGGCAATTACAGTTACTATTGGGGTTGACACGATAATTACCCGTTTTCTGAGCCATGAGAAGTCTGGTGCTGAAGGAATGTGTCCAGGCATGAGAATGTCTCGGTGCACTCAGTACATTCGTAAAGGACCTCTGAGGAATTTCCTTTGTCATTTTGAGTATGGTCCATATAGTCATCCTCTATGTCATCTGCATTCCCCTTTTCTAAAACAGCGTCCCTTCTGTTGTAAGATGTTTGTTCAACATCATTTGCATCTCCGGAGCTTGGGTGATTCTCAAGCTGAAGCTCAAGGGACAAAGTGTTCCTGAATTGAGCTGGATGCCTCTGGGACTTACTAGGTTCCTTTTTGTGATAGCGCAAGTGCCGTTGGTACACACATAGCAGCCCAAATCTCTTTCCACATTCTTGGCACTTGTAGTTAACTCGGCCAGCTTTTCCTGATTGTTTGCTCTTTCTTTGCTGCTCTAGTGATGACATTTGTTCATTGTCAGAGGAGCTCTTGGTTTTCTCATCAGTAGAGTCTGTGTATATTTCACCATTGAAAGGACTGGTGTCTGGCCCATTTTTGGGATTTGTGTACAAGTGTTTCAAACCTGGTTTCTTTTCCGATTCTGCTTTGTGATACATGGCTAGATGCCTTCTTAAATCACAGCGCTGTGGGAAATGTCTACCACAAAATGCACATGTGTGCATGGTACCCTTATGGTATCTCATGTGCCGAGATAAACTGCTAGAATGGTTAAAAACACGTTGACACTGCTTGCAAGGATGCAGCTTGCCATTTGGATTACTCGTCCTTCTACGTCGGCCTTTAGGCGGCATTCTTCGCCGAATCGTTTTCTTTGATTCTTGATTCAGCTTATCTATTTCCTCCTGAGTTTGATGTGTGCGATGATGCTCCTTTAGGGATGTTAACCTTTGGAAACGATCACCACACAAACCGCATCTGTATGGTGTTGGAGAGAAATCAGCAACAATCTTATTGCTGGTATCCCTAAAGATTTTACTATCTCCAATATTTACACCAATAGATGTCCCATTACTGTAGACATTTTTAGGTGGTGTGTCTTCTATGTTCTTAGACTTCACTTCAATTTTGGACGCTAATGGTTCTTCAGGCTCTTTTCCTTTGCAATGATGCAGTGAATGGGTCTGAAAATCTGACATCCAGAAAAAATTCAACTTGCACTTCCTGCAAGGATATGATTTCTCCAGATTATTCTCCTGCCTTATCACACATCCATCCAAAGCTGTAGCCTTGGGGAGGTGATTTTCTTTGTGATGAGCATTTAGTGCATCTATTTGAAGGAATCGCTTACCACAATGACTACAGCAATGGAATCTTTCTTTGACATGGTCTTGGAGGTGTTTCTTAAGGTCCTGTCTACCTTCAAAGATCTTACAACACAGAGTACACTTATAACCTCGCTCTGTGTTTCGATACTGCTGGTGACGATGCAAACTCTGCAGGCTGTTAAATGATCTGCTACATATTTCACAACGGTAATGCCCCTGGCGGGACTTGTCTAGGTTCAAGTCAGATGGCCTTGGCCCGAACACATCTCTATTATAAGGAGTATGCTGTGGCTTCAGAGTTGGAGACATGCGTTTGATGGCGGATGGGAAATGAGATGGCAGGACTCCAGAAGATACTGGTTTTACAGAAGATTGTGACTCCAAGCCGTTCACAACTGTCAGTGTACCATTTTCTTGCAGCACATATTCCCGAGGGACTTCAAATCCATTTGATGAGCCATCAAAGGAAAATGACTCTAGAGGTCCATGAATGGTCATGTGGCTCAATAGATAAGAGTACTGACTGAACCCATCACCGCACTCTGTGCAGATAAAGGTACAGGATTCTCCGATCAATTTTGATGAAGTAGCAGCATTCACTGATTTCTGCTTTTCCATGATGATCCGTGATGGCATCCCTTTTCAATGAGCAAGTATGAGTAAAACTTTATCCAGACATTCAAATATTGCTTTTCATGTGCGAATCAGTGTGTCCACTCTCTCAACAGGCTGGTTTTGAAGAAGATGTCCTTGCGAGCTGAACGTTCATCCCTCTGGTTTTCCATGATGTATCAGCACCTAAGGGGGATAAGAAAAAAATAAAAATCAACAAACTACTGGAGCCCAATTTGTGTGAACATTTCAAAAATATTCCATATGACTATGCAATGTAACTTTTTTTTTTTTTTTTTTAAATAACCCAAGCCCGGTTGGATAACGTGATGACTAAATTCTTGATACCAATACATTTTTACTGAATACAGCTTGAATTCACTATACTGCAACTCTATGGAACCTTTTTTTAAAAAGCTGGTAACAGTTAACGTTAACTAGCTGTATAACAACCCTGTTTGTGTAATGTGTGTACCCAGAAATGTGTGTAACACCAGAGTGAAAAAAGTTAATTTCCTCGTTGGGGATTAATAAAGTATGTCTTATTCTTCTTCTAGCTGTCCTCCTGCCTATTTCTATACGGAGTTGTTGTTCACAATGTAGCAATATCTTTATGTGGTGTTGGTTTACTGCGTCCCAAACTCAGGTTTCCATCATATCTGGGATGACGTCTCAAACCCTGACAGTACTACTGGGCAGTAGGTGGTAATATAGAACCTACACCATCATGTTTTTAGAATACTTTAATCGCATTGTTTCCTATGTATTGGCTCTTTTGACATCCCTAATGCTACTGGTTAAAGCTGTCTTTCTGAGTTCTGAAAGGGTTTTTAGCCTGACTGTTTACTGTGGCCACCAGATGAAACTGTTTGACAAAGTAAGACATGCTATGGATGATGCATTTAGGCACTAGTAACATACAATGGGTAAATAATTACATTACTTTTTTCATTGTGATGTTTGGGAGTTATCTTAAAGTTAGTGTTTGTTCTATTTAGCAGATAAGCTAATGAGCATGGGCCTCTCATCTATGACTCGATTCATACTTTCTCCGGCACTGTCTTTTAATGAACATGTTGAGGAACCAGGACATGATGGTTTCAAAGGAAACATTGCTGCGGAGCTTTTCAAATGCATTTGCATTTGAGCAACAAAATACAGGTGCCATCTAGTTCCATTATATTCAAGAAGGCAGACATCCATCTTTTCATCAATGCAAGATGGCGCCGTGCTAGGTGGCAGCCTGTTGCAAGCAGCTCCAAGTATGTTTATGCTTATAATTTGGAACGTGAGGTCCTTTGGCAATAAGATGGACGAGCTCCGCGTCCAGACCTAGTGGGAGTCTTGTGAGTGCAATATCATGTGTTATACAGAGACGTGGCTGCACTCACACATCCCGGACAACAACACAGCTCTCCCAGCTTCACAAATGTTAAATGCCCCACCAGAGACAATAAAACTCTGGACTTTTTATATGGAAATTCTAAGGATGCATACTATGCCACAGCCCTCCCCCTTGGCAGATCGGATCACAACCTTGTCTTACTGGCACCAAAATATGTCCCTCTTGTTCAGCTGCAGCCTGTATCAACAAGAACTGTGAGAACGTGGACTCACGGGGCAAATGAGGCTCTACAGGACTGCTTTGAGACCAGGGACTGGGATGTGCTTGTTTGCCACATGGAGAGGACATCAACAACATGACTAACTGCATCACTGACTACATAGTCAAACCACTTTGCCGGCTAAAACTGTACACTGCTTCCCAAATAATAAACCCTAGATTACTAGCGTCCTGAAATCACTTTCAAATAAGAAAAAGGAAGCCTTCAAGTCCAGGGACAAGGAAGTGATGAGAAGCATGACCTAAGGTACAAGCTGAGTGAGAGCAAGGAATCCTACAGGAGGAAGCTGGAGGCCAAGCTACAGGAGAACAATAGCAAAGATGTGTGGACTCGAATGAATGCCATCAAGGAGGGATGACAGACGGAGGGTGCCCTCAACTATCCCCTCCACTTCACCACCACCACACAGCCTGGCTTCGACATCCCCCCACAGCTTTCAATGCCTTTGACCCCCCCTCACTGTCCCCCTTGTTGAGCATTCTGCCTCTCCTCCACTGACGCATCAAGCCCCCTCCCCCGCTTCGCTGTTGCCCCTTCCCCACCAAAGCAGTTCCAGGGCCAGTTCGGAGCTAGTGCCAGATTAAGAACCGGTTCTTCCCGTTTCCACTGCAACGCGGCCGGCTCTTGGCCCAGAACACCAGTTCTTATCCGGCCAAACTCGACTGCCCGTCAAGAACCGATTCGGAACCAGAAAAGCGCAAGCACAGAGCCTAATCGGGAACTGGTTTGGTGGGAAAGGGGTATGCGAGTACAGGCCAGGGGCCTCATTTATAAACTGTGCATACACTCAAAAGATGGTGTACGCCAGTTTCTACGCAATGTTTGCGATTTATAAAAAACAATATTATCCTCCACGCAAAACTCTGACCCATGCGCACGCACTAAGCACAAAAACGGGAGAGACGAGAAACTGCGACACCGTTGGCAGAAGGAAGAATGGAGAGAAATATGTGGAAATAATACCATAAATATAATGTTATCTCTCATTTGTCATATATGAAGAATTCATTTTCACAAATTGATTAAAGCCAATCCTAAAATGATTTAACAAACGCCTGTTTGAGACTCCTCAGTGCACACAAAAACATAACTTGGAGAAATAAATAAATACGGAAATGTTATTGATCACCCCTGGATTATGTTCTCTTGTTAAGAAATGTATTCTCATAAATGATGCGGTAAACAGAAGGACATTATTACTTTAAACTGACGCCGTTTTGCATTTCTATAGGTTGTATAGATACGAGCATGGTTTTATATACTATCATGTTTAATCATGTTTTATGCCGTTCGCCAATAGCCTACTTGATAAGTCGCTCGTAAAACACAGGAGGTATGGAAACTAAGAACACCATATGTGGTAAATTGTACAGCTAATATAACACAACACATTAGTTGTATTTTCTTTAACTGGTGGATATATAGTTGCTGATCGACAGCTGGAACACAAACCACCAAATACAAACAAATAATTCAGATCCAGTCTTCATTAGGGATGTCCCGATCACCTTTTTTTGCTCCCGATCTGATTCCGATCATTTGATTTTGACAATCTGCCGATACCGATTTTTCCCGATCCGATCTTTATGCAATGCATTAAGAGAAAAAAAAGGAGAAAAGCATTCAAGTTGTCCCTTAAACCCCACGTTCTCCACCACAGATAACGGCTGGTCATCCAACGCGATGAATTCAGCTATCTTGGCTGTTATTTTTTTGGCCTTTTCACTGTTCTGGGGCAGTTTCTCTTTCCTTTTAAAAGTCTCTGAAAGTGTTGGTTGTTTCAGTGCCGTTACCTGAGTGGCCGCTAGGGATGGGTATCGTTAAGGTTTTAACGGTACTACTACTTTTATCGATACCGCTTATCGGTCCGGTCTTTTAACGGTACTCTTATCGGTTCTTTTGGAGAGAAAAATGAGGTAAACTAACTATATGTTGTATGTCAGGGACGACGGATGGAAATTAGCTCAAAGCTAAAATCCGGCATATTTACACTTGAAGCTAGGGTGACCAGATGTCCCGCTTTGCGCGGGACTGCACAGCATTTTCACGACTTTTGGTGTGTCCCGCAAATTGAGACGATGTCCCGCATATTTCATTTTGATTGGACAAAACGCTTTTCTGCCATTATGATTATGTTTTAAACGGCATTATGTAAGTTGCGCTGACAGGCGACAGAGGTCCACAGTGTACCCCCCCCCCCGTTGACAGTTCATGCGTCAACATTACATTTACATGTCCCACATTGTCCCACACAAATATACTCTCTGTCCCACTTGTGGCTTTCTGTCACCTGGTCACCCTACTTGAAGCATTATTTGTCTAAAGTGTTCATTAATGTGCATTGTCCCTATTCAAATAAACGATTAAATGAAAATTAACAAATTGTGAACAAAACTAACATTGCTTTTTATTTAAATGAAATGCATAATATTTCACATCAACAGAAACAACAACGTTTTAACAAATCATATTAAATAATCTGATGACAGAACTGTGAACAGAATGGCTGAAACTTTAACAAACTAAATAACTCGGTTCCCTCTAATCATTAACCCATGTTTGAATCATTGAGTTAGCTCCGTGTGTTGCTGCTAGCATACATAACACCTGACGTGGAAACGTTACTCGTGGATGGGGCTACAGAGCTACTAGAGAGACAGTCGAACCCGGTGCATTTCTCCGTCTGAATATGGTGCACTTTTGCAAGATGTTTAGACAAATTGCTCGTGTTACCGCCCTGACATGCTAAACTCTTATTGCACTTTAGGCAACGAGCGAGACGGGTAAAGTTTAACCACACCTCGGAGCGCGTTCTCTCCGCCATCTCCTCCGTGTGTGTGTGTTGTTGCATGTAGCAGCTGCGTGTGTGTAAACTGCCCCGCCCCCTCGCACACAGACGGGGGAGAGAGATCTCTCGTCTGGATTGGAGAGATCGAAAATACTAAAAATGACGCATTTTGCAGTCTTTTTGCGTGTTAGAAACGGAGTTGGCGACACTAAAACTGCAATATAATGTTTGTGTAGCAATAATACACATGACATATTTTTTAGATGTCTCCAGTACCGATAAAAAGACCGATAACGTCGGAGCTTAACGGTACCACGGTCTTTAATAATTCAGCCCCGGGGCCCGTTTAATACCGGGGCTCGGTACCCATCCCTAGTGGCCGCTGTGTACTCGTTGTGTTGTTGTTGGTGTTGGTTTCTCAGGTGGCGTATTAGATTGGTCGTGTTGAACGTAGCTCTGTTCTTTCCACCACGCGGAACCTCCGCCTTGCAAACATTGCATCTGGCTGTTACACTGCCTTCGCTTTCAATTTTATAATACTTCCAAACTCCTGACATTTTCTCTGTCCCTACTCCCGAGTCACCAGCTGAACGTAGCCTCTCGTTAGCTTACTGCTACTATTAGACACTGCGCCCTGCCCACTCTGTTGCCAGATTTGAGAGAAATAAGCAACCAGGTCTATGAAAACAAGCCCAAAAGAAGCAACACATACATGATGTTGTGTAATTTTAAACCAAAACTAAGGCCTCAGGATGACTTTAAGACGTGAACATGGTCATTTTTGTTTTGTAACATTAGAGAGGAGTAACGAGAGCTGGTTGATTAATTTTTGGAGTGGACTGGAAGAAATGATCTGCTTCTGAATGTGGCAAGGGCACCACGGCAGGGCCCAGGAGGTGAACGGGGACCTCTCCAGTAGCAGTCTACACTCCATATTTAGGTATGGTCGGGGACTTGAACCAGCGACCCTACGGCTCACAGTCCAAACCCCTACTGACTGAGCCACTGCCGGACATCTTGACAAATCTTGTCCCAGTCTGTTGTTGCCAGTGCACTCTTCTTTGCTGTGGTCTGCTGGGCATGCAGCATCAGAGTCGGTGACACCAGCAGACTCAATAAACTCGTTAAGAAAGCTGGCTCAGTCATCTGCGTCAAACAGGACACTTTTGTTGTTGTTGTGGTGGAGAGGAAGACTCTGAACAAACTGTTGTCAATCATGGATAACCCCTACCAGCCTCTCCAACAACAACTGGACAGAGAGCGGAGCTCCTTCTCCAACAGACTGCTCCAGCTCCGCTGTCACGAGGACAGAGGAAAACATTCCTGCCAACAGCAATAACACTTTATAACAACTCATCTACGGCTGTCCTAGAACTCACTGCTCCATAGTTTCTCTTTTGTTAACTGGACTTATAACATCTCACTGTACATTTTACTAGGGCTGCCCTCGACTAAAGATTTTTCTAATCGACCAATAGTCGTCAATTGCATGTATATGATGTTATGATTATTAATATTATTTCTTGTCCCAAAATGGTTTCAGTTTTAAGGCTTACAGTGTCAATTTCATTGTTTCCATGCAAATGGTCTTGTATCATGATATACTCCATAATATAGATATCCTTTCCATACTAAAAGTTTGAGAAAATCTTGCAGCCATTTATTTAACTTGAAGCAGTTGGGCTTTCTGACTTTCCAACTGGCTAACAAAGATTTCCAATCTGAGCTTCTGAACATACTTTGCATTGCTTTAAGATTCTTAATGCAGAGGATCTTTATTATCATTTCAAAATGTTGTAATTGATATCTGCCCCCCAAAAAGAGAAAAACACTATGCTGGAACACCCATAGTGAGCAGGTTTAATGGCTTACTATGCTCAAGACTAATTAAGACCTGTCAACAACAACCACATGTGGAAATTGGCAGGAGGAATGCTCACTTTGAAATATAAAACTGGATGGCTGTGGTTCTGTGGGTAAGTGCACTGATCTTCGGAGCAGGGGAGACTGGTTCAATCCCCACTGCAGTCAGCATGTTAAGGGTGTAAAAATTCAGAGATACCCATTTCCAAAATATCAGTACACAACAAACATACACACATAGATTTAAACAACCACAGAACCAAATACAATTCTGAATGAAATTTGCGGCAGACAATACAGCTATGAAAGCTGGGCCTGTTACAAGTATTTAATTCTACTTTTGGGCCTCCCCCACTGAAAATGTTAATGGTTTACCATAGAACAAAATGTCTTTGTTGTATGTTATATTTTCAATACCTTCGCAGCTTTGTCTTTTATTTTAAAAGGTCCCATGTCATGCTTTTCCGGTTATTACCCATCCCCTTGTGTGTTATGAGGGTTTTTATGCATGTAATCGGTCTGCAGAGTCAAACACCCTCAAAGTACACCCTGTAGGGAGTAAAACTCTAACACAGAAAAGACCTCCCCAAAACGCCTCGTTGGAGATTTCTCATGTTCTTCCTGGGCATCATAACGTCTGGATACCCAGTAGCCACGCCCAGACGTGATACGGTCATGCGGTAACCGGAACCAAATGGACCAATCCGTGGAGCCGTTACGTTAAGCCCCTGCTGATTGGTCCAAATTGACCAATCCACGGACTTCCTCACACACACACTCGGTGCAGGCAGCTCTGCTGATTTCTCCTCCCTGGCTGCAGGCTGATAACAGACAGTTGGGATCACGGCGAAATTCTCTCTGCAGAACCATCTCACAGCGTTTATCAACCTTTTTCTTACTCAATATCAAGCCACACTTATTGTTTTTACTTCGGCTGTGAGTTTGTGTGTGCTCAGGTCAGGATGAGTTTGGCTGTGTTTGGCTGTGTATCGCTAAACAAGGAAACCACACCCCCACGGAGCTCAGCACGATTCACAGCGTCCCGACCTATCAGAGCACACTGTGCTCACAGGGAGGGTGGGGGCTGGAGCTATTGGAGCTCCAACGAGCCGTTAAAGGCAGAGGCTGAAGTCGAATAGTCCATTTAGCTTAGGAACCTTCCTAACAGAGTGAAATGACCCGGAAGTCCCTCAGTTGCAGCCATGATAAGTGCCGTTCGAATTCTCTAGATGATAGGAAAGGAGGTTTCAAACTTCCTTTATAACCTCCTTTAGCTTAGGAACCACTGGACCTCCCTTGACGAAAGGAGAGGAGAAAATGCTGCCCCACAATGCCTTGCAGCCGCAGCATTTGCCGTCACACAACAGTCGACCGTTCACAGAAACAACAGATTATGACCGAGAAATGATATCATGAAAGTTACGGCGCTTATTAAAGGGGACCTATCATGCAAAATGCACTTTTGTATGTCTTTTATACGTGAATATGTGTCCCCGGTGTTCCAGGGAACTCACCAAGTGTCAGAAAACACAACCCTCTCTATTTTCCTCCATACCCAAATCTCTAAAAAAGGGGCTGCAACGGATCTGATAAAAACTGATCCAGATTTGAACACTCGACGCTCGAAAGCGCTGGAGACGCTGTAGTACATATGCCAGGCCTGTAAGTGGCGCTGTAGTCTGCCACAAAAGCAGTGAAGAAGACTTCCCACGCATGGTTGCTATGGTTACCCTTCTGTTTATTCTCCGCTGTGGCTTTTTTTCCTCCCTCCCCGAGGCAAGCGTTTGCTGCCGCTGCTGTAATTCAATGCAATCCCTCCCAGTCGAGGCAAGCACTGTAATTATCTCCGGTTAGTCCACCAGCAGATGACAAACACCCGCCTCTTCCAAGGAACGAGAGGACCATGCGGCAGAGTTTCAGTTAGGTTTTCTTTCGCCGGTCAAGATGTCCGTTAAAGTTTAAATCTTCCGGACAAAATTAGAAAAGTGCCGGTCAAAGGTCTTCTTTGTTATTTATTGAGCTTTAAAACAAATGAATAACGACTCTATAGGCCTATAATAATATAATAAAACACGGAGGACGGAGATCTATTTTTCTCCCCCTCTTCTGACTTGATCAGAGCACGGCTCCCCTCTCCTGCAGGGGGGCGTGGTCAGCTGCAGCTCACAGAATCAGACCCGTGCAAAAACAGTGCTGGAGAACAGCAAATAGAGCAAAATGAGGCATGGCTAAAATGCATGATCTGTTTGGTATTTTGAAAACAGAAACGTATAAATATACCTTATATAGGTATGGCCCTACAATATATCATTTAAATATAGCATGATAGGTGTCCTTTAAGCTTTTTAAACGTATGTGGTAACTTGCCAAAGTGCTTTGTTTTGAACGATCATAGTATTATAATCAAAAAGAGAAATATGAACATTATTTTTTACTGAAATGATCAAATAAAGTCAACATTTCACAGTCTTTACTGAGCTGTGTGGGGTTTGTTCAACTTTTAAAAGATGTTTGAATGGTGATATACACAGTGATAGATGTTAAGGAATAACGTTTATAATAAATACATTTGTATTGATTTTAAGATCTTTTCATAAAATAATACGTATTGGGATCATTTGTATTAATGTGGACCGGAGGGAGAGGGTGACGAGCATAAGTTTCACTTTCCTTTTTTATTTCAATTCCAACTTTGGTCATGAAGAATATGTTTCTCTGTTGTCCACGTTCATAAAGCATAAAACAACAGCATCAGAGCACGGTGCAGAGTCTCTAGATGAGTTTACAGTAGTCCCTCATTCTTATTATACATCCATGTTGTAGTCTGCTGAAACTGTAGTTTCCATAGTTTTCCCACAGCAGCAGACGCACATTTATGACGTTCGCTGGCGCATCATAAACACGTCGGATAGTGAAAGTGCAGTCGGATTCTCTAAAGTATCGCAGTCTCTTCTCCTAAATCCTTTTGAATTCTCCTATCCACTATCCCTTAACCCCGTGACGTTTCACTCAGAGGTCAAGGAATAGACGATAGGGTTAGACGTTAGGAGCTGATTTTTGGATTATCCGAACGCAACTAGAGAGTGAAATTCAGTGAATACACGTAGTTTACAGAGATGCTGTATGAGAAACCAATGTGAGTTTGGAAAATTGCACAATATAAATCTATTCTAGTAGACCTCAACAATGGAATTATGATCAGTGGAAATGGCCATGACATGGGACCTTTAATATTCACAATACTATAAACACTATTGTTATTTACTAGAATCTCGACCAAAGAAATGTCTCAGCAAACTGAAATAGCAAATGGATATTTTCAAAAGACCAAATCTGTACGTAGTATTATAAAGTATGTAAAATAATTGTATAGGGAAGAGGCCATTTAACATGAGCTGTGTTGAGCAAACAGAGCTCTGGCAGGATTTCCCAGACGTTATACATGACCATTACGTAGCAAGACTTTTGTGTATGTGCAGGGTTTCATGAGTATCGTATGCAGCCAGGGGGCGACTGAACATTTCCCAAACAACAATTGTAGATAGGAAGCTGGTTAACGTGAGCCTGCTTAGAAAGCTTGTGTTTAATTGAAAATAATACGAGTAAATCAATGTCGAGGGCTCATTGGGAGTGATAAAGCTACAGACAGGCATAAATAAAAATCAGCCGCAAACGGCTTCAACTGAACGTGAAGCTAATATTGTGGTCAGACGATAGCTAACGCTATCTGCACCTAGCTAAGGCTAGTTAGCAAGGGGGAGAAAACACAGTGATTTATAAATCAATAGGCATTTAAGGGTCAGCCGTTTAGCCTGATGTAAACATAACTTACCACGCAATATGGTACACCTCAGCACAAAGTAAAATACATGTCCAGCAATCCGTTAGGAACGGATGAGTGTTTAGCGCAGCAGGCCAAGGCAGCCTCTCCTGGTCGGACTCTGAAGCATATTAAGAAGAACGTACAGACCGTGACGTCATGACGCACGCCGCATACGTTTATGAGATGGCCGTGTCTCAATTCAGGGGTTTCATCCTTCGAAGGGTGCATTCGTAGACCGCATACGTCACTTCCGCCGAAAGAAGGCTGTCCCAATTTAAAAAAAAGACGAGACTCCTCCGAATGCGGCCCACGAATGCAGCCTTCTTTCCCCCAATTTGAAGGATACATCTGATGTACACTCCGCGGCCTACCATATCCCAGGGTGCAATGCGCGCAGGGAAGAGTGAGTTTTTTTCAAATGAAATGGCTTCCGGTCTCCCCAGCAGAGTGGATTTAAAAGCAGCAGCAAGCGGAGGAATCACTAATAAATGTGAGTATTGGGTTTTTAACTTACTTTAAATTAACTAATGTCACACACGTCAAACCCAAGGGGCATTAAAACGTACATTTTCGTTAAATAATACGGATAAATATGTGACGCTAACTAGCTAGCTGGACGTACTGCACTGTTGTTTACACTTATTTTTAATTCAATTCAGAAGTTTACTAAAGTCATACATTTAGACCGGTATAGCCTACAGTACGGTGGGATTTATAAAAGGCTACCCTGACGTGTAGCTGCTGTTAGCTTTATTTATTTCTCTGACATGTTTTACTGTTTATTAAACTTTGGGACAACATTACAACCTTTGTGTTCAGCTCATGCTGCTTTGAGGTAGGTTTGATTGATTGATTGAAAAGTTTATTAACAGCTTGTATATTGGGTACAGTACAGTACAGCTCAAAACATACAATTGTTAAGGGGATGCAGACCAGAGAAAGACTTTCGTCTTGTTTACATCAGGGTCCCCCATTTCCAATTCATCATATCATTTAAGACATATAAGACATATTTGACATACAGATGGCTTAAGGTAGGGCTAAAAGAAAAGCCTATTTTAAATATTTCCACCAGATTTGATCATCTTTTATTTAGGTTAAAGTGTATTTAATGTATCCTAATCCCATAATAATAACACAATCACAAATAGACAGCAGCCTTTAGCTTGATGTTAGTTTGTGCCGTGCTGTCAAAGGGATGCACGTGTGACTGTCATTTCATCTCTTTAGTTTTTTTAAAACCAGAACAGTACATCATTTTGAATGATACTTTAGGGATTGTTTGTCTGAAATGCTTAGAGTAAAATTTTGCAATAATACTTCTGCAACCCTGTGTTTAATATGATTAATTCACTTTTTTGTTTTTCTCTGTAATTAGTACAATTCTGGAGAAATGGATCTGCTGGAGAAGGACCCCTAATCTGAAGAGTGCACAGCGGATCATCAGGACAGAGCTGCCATCCACCTGGACCCCCGTGGTGCTGGAGAAAGCAAAACGGCGATCAGGAACATCCTCCACCCAGACCTCTGCTTACTGCCGTCCTACAGACTTGTGTCTTAGTTTCAGAATTAGATTTTGTATGTGTCCTTTCTTTTAATAGATATGTAACAATTATAGCTTGAGTCTGTCTGATTCCCCAAACAGCTGCTTCTATATACTCGCTGCACATATAATACAAATAAACAACTCCATAAACACACTTTTGCTGATATTTGTTTTACTGCTGGTGATGTTAAATAACATGATTGATTTCCTCTGTCTCAATGATGAAAGTTATAATAATAGAAGACATGAAGCTGCAGAGAGAGGATGGATATATTCTTACCTCTACTTTGTGATAAAATGAAAATACAATATTAAATTGTAATTGTTAAACACATTGTTTATTTCATTTACTGAGGTTTTAACCATTATTTCCAACATGTGTACATAAGCAGTGGAATAATATGATATCTCTAGGTCATTAAACTGTCTTCAGTTTAATTTTATTAATACAAAAAATAGGTCATAGAAAATGTTTAATTGTGTATTTCAGCAGAGCGGGGGGTCACGGTGCTGCTGGACCTGGAGGTGTTGACCTGGGGTCAGTGGGACATAATCTGGGCAGGTTTAGGGGAAGAAGGAGAATATAAACTGTTATGATCACAGCTATTAAGATTAGAACACTAATATTGTTAAGAATCAATCTATACAACATGCTTTTGTTCATTTAAAAAACATATTGTTTTATTAGTACAGAAAAATTAAGACTTATTTTAAATATGAAATAATATGATTAAATTACATCAGCTATATATAATTTATATAATATTTAATTTATAATTTCTCTTTATTTCATCGCCGATGGTGATCTCCAAAAAATGTAAAAGTAAAGTTTCTGGATCCTTTTCAGCTGAGTTAGCTTGTAAACTAATTTGCTAGCAGGCTGCTGGATTAAACCGAACAGCGTGTATCACGTGACGTAAATACGAAGCGCTCCGTAGATTAGACCCTGGGTGTTTCTCAATCGCGAGTACGCTTGCTTGGTAGCACATGTCTGCCGAGCATCTTGCTTCAGAAGCGAGTCAAGAATACTTCCTGGCATTCGGAAAACGAAGTGTGGAACACGCTAGCAAGTGTGCAGGTGTGCGTCATATGAGAGGCCCCGCCTTACATCTTCCGCCACAGATTTGGGGAAATTGGTCCGTGCGCAAAGCATTGTGGGGATTTTAAGACCGCGGAGTCTACTCATGTGCAGCCTCGATATTTCTCCAAACGGAGTACGCCGGGCTCGGTAGATTTCCAATGGCGCATTTCCACCACACGGTCGGCCTCGGCCACGCTCGGTACTGCTTGGGCCTTAACAGGGCCGGCTCACTTCATGCTGCGCTTCCATTACAGTTTAGGAACTGGGGTAGTTACTATAGTAACGCAGTGTAGGCGGAGCCGTGACGTCATCTTCAATGAGAACCCCAGAAAAACAACACAGCCGTTAGCTGTTAGCACTCAGAGCTCACAGCTCCTTATATATGTTCAGAAACTCGACAAAAGTTAAACAAGTACACACCACAGACTGCCTGTGTCATGGTGAATACAGTCGCTGCTTTATTTATGTCTGTATAGGCCGTTGTTGTGAGTGTGGACGGTCGGAGCATATACTGCGTTAGCTTAGCCAATCTCCATCTAGAAAACACGCATTTTAAAAGGTTTTTCGCCTGCCGTCTGTCTGCAAACTTGCCAAAGCATTAATTCATGGTTTTTACTAACCGGTATCAGTATGTTGTTACTTCGGCATCATTTTGAAACGTGTATTACAATTAAATCACGGTCAAATATGTCCATCTTGTTGTAGTTGTAGCCCCCTTGCCAGCGATCCTCTCTCTAGTTTAGCATACTCAGCCCGACTCAGCCCTGTTTGTTGGCCCCGATAGAACCACAATTTTGTCGGGCCAGAAAAGAGGTGAAAAAGTGGCCCCGGGCCGGGCCGGGTCGTAACTAGGCCTAGTGGAAGCGCAACCAAAAACGGGCACGACACGGCACGCTTAAACCGCGCTCCGCGCCATGGTGGAAATGCGCCACAAGTATGCTAGAGATTGGAACAGTACTTCGGCGGCACTCGATGACGTAGTATGCTTGAAATAGTGGCTCTGAAGCAGCTTTACTCGCGATTGAGAAACACCCCCTCTCATTTCGTAGGCCGCTCGGTCCAGCCTACCCGGTCTACGTGGGCTGGGTCCTCCGTGGACCGCGTAGGCTGCGTACTCCGAAGGGTGCAGCCCCTGAATTGAGACACGGCCTATGAATCTCACCCTGGGTTTATAGTCTAGCAGGAAGGGCCCTCAGATTTTGAGATACCCCTACCCGAGATAGAACAAATGACAACAATGATTTTTCTTATCTTTAGGGTCTCCCATTAATGAAATTGATTGTTGTCAAATTTTATTTTGGGGGAAAAAATGTTTTTTTGGTTGTTCTTTAGAACTACCCAAATCCCTGAAAAAGAGCCAAATTAGACCAGGCAGAATATGGGAAAGGTGACAAAAAAGCCCATAACTTGAGAATGACCACTCTTTTCCTCTTCAGATTTGCTGAGGTATGAACCAGGTGGCTGTCCTACATCACCAAATAGTCAGACAATTATTTAACTAAAGAAATACTGAATTATAGTCCTGTAAACTTAGCTTTAGTTTAGACGGAAATTGTACTTTTGGTGATAGGAACATAGGATTCAATCACTTTTCTCTCATTTATCAGAAAAACAGAAATCCCTAAAAAATATAGCATTACTGAATTGTCTAGGGTGCTATTGAACACTAACCAGTAGTTGTATGGAAATATCTGCAGTCAAATTCCGAATGGGGGATAAGTGGCATAATAGCCTATAAGTTAAGAATGCTCACTCTAATGGTCATTATATTTGGCAAGGGAAATACCAGGTGGCTGAATTACATCACCAAATAGTCAGAATAAGAGTAACCCAATACAATAAAGTGTATTAGTTCTAAATTGCAAGCCTCTAAAACATAGGTGTAAATAGTACAGGTTTTATTGAAACTGGAACCTTAAAGGTGGGGTAGGTAAGTTTGAGAAACCGGCTCGAGATACACTTTTTGTTATATTCCATGGAATGCTCTTAACATCCCGATAGCAATGAATATCTTAAGTGCTTTGACAAAAAATCCATAAAAAAATGTCATCTGTGGAAGCCGTAATACTGTAAAAAGCACAACCAATTATTTTAGCCGGCCCGGCTAAAATAACTGGATGGCCTACCTGCCTGTCAGCCTTCCATCTGTGCACAAACTTATCTCGTGCCCACATTGGTCATGTGCGCGTTTGTGTGTGTTGGAGGAGGGGCTCTTTAAGGAAGTGGCAGATTTTCTCCGGTTGTGTATTTTCAAATTCTAGCGATCTCGAGCCGGTTTCTCAAACTTACCTACCCCACCTTTAATTCAAAGTATAGTATATAAATCATCAAATAATTCTGTGAGAGGTCAAGTATATAGATACTATAATGTATCTGTTAATAATAATGTTAAATGTCAGGTTCCTCAGAAACGTTAGGGGACACATTTTGACATTCAAATCTGTACAGGGAAGGCCAACAGAGAGGCACTGGCACTTTCCACTCTCTCCACACTTTGCATCTTTGCAATACAAGTGAGTAATGTCTCTCACTTCTGTAGGTGCTGGGGGTTTTGTGAATAGCACTGGTTGAATGGCCCCATCTCTGACAATCCACCCCTTGCCAACAGGACTCAAAAACAAGGGTTTGGGTTCGGGCTGTGACACCATATCGCTGTCTGAAACATTGCTCTTTACATGTTGTTGAAATGCATCCTCTGTTGGCGGCAGATTTTCCGAGGCTGCATCTGTTGTTGATGCAATTATGAACCTCAGTTCATCCAAGTTTGTGCACATCAGTCCAATTTCCTTTT